TAATTAAAATAGTGTTTGAGCGATTATTCGTTTTGCTTGTTTTTCTATAACTATTTTATTTACATTATTTTGGGGGCTAAAATTAAAAAGATTATTATATTTTTTTGATGCTATCGAATGGCGTCAAAAAATCCCAAAAATAACGAAAATATCCAGAATTTTGCGACCCTCGGGCTGGGGCAGGGGGTAAAATAAACCGTAGCCATTCTTTGGGAAGGCAGGCTAGCAGAGATACTTCGAAAACCCGTAAATTCCACGAAATTCCGAATGTTTACTACTTGCATACACGCCCTTGGTTCCCATGACATTCGTCGGGGTTACGGTATATTGCGCCAGCCCGCCGACCCGGGATGGGCCATGTTTTTGCTCGCATCGGCATTTGGAGAGGGAGAAAAAGAGAGAGAGAGAGAGAGAGAGAGAGAGAGGGAGAGGGAGGGAGAGACTGAAAAACCCGAATCGCGAAAAAACGGTTTTTGCCTGTGTTTTTGGGCGGTGTGGGAAAGGGCGGCGGGATTTTGGGGCTTTAGGAAAAAGATTTGGTAGCAAAGATAAAGGGCAGACCAGCAGAGATTCTTTAGGAGACGATTGGATTCAAATACCCTAGGTCACATCTAGGGTCATTTTCCCATCGAAATTCGGGTCCCGACACGACCGTTGCGTAAACGATGCCCGGCGGGTAGCTCATTAGCATGGCCCTAGGAGAGAGAGAGAGAGAGAGAGAGAGAGAGAGAGCAAAAGAGGAAAGAAGGGGAAGAGAGAGACAGAGCACTCTTCAAACCTTCGAAAACCGGCCCCGATCAAAAAATCGGAGCAATTTTTAAGTCTCTCTTTCAAAACCTATTTTAAAGGGATGGAGAAGGCTAAAAATTTGCCAAAAACGCGGTGTTTGAGGCTAAAGGTCTCCGCTACATAGCTACCCTTAAAAAGCTGTGTTCCGGAGTAGAAATCCTGGAAATCTTCTTACTTTTCTATCGATCATGCTCAATGATCTCTGCTAGTTGACCTGCGTGAAATCACGATCCCAAAGTATCTCTGCTAGATTGCCTTTGCCCGACCTCCCTCAATAATCTCTGCTAGACGGCCAGCTCCTGCTAGAGTTCTTTTGAAACCCAGTCCCCCGCGCAATTTATTGAAAATCCCTCCTTTCCCCCTGTGCCCCTCAAGCCAAAAAAATTAGCCTGTCCTACCCTCCTTTACGATTACTTATCATCAACATCTGCCTTTGGTAGTTGACCTTAGCCCACCTCGTCCTCCCCTCCCTCCGTATGCTAATTTCGAGCCGTCCCGCCGCCCGACAAAGCCCAATAAATGGGGGAGGGTGGTGCATAAACCTAACATTTACTGTCCGCCCACCCGCCTTGCAACAACCGCATTGCGATACCACATCTAGAACGGCTATAAATTGCTCTTTTCTCTCTCTCTCTCTCTCTCTCTCGCCTCCAATAACCCATAAATCGCCCGGGGGCACATCAAAAGAGGTACAATGACAGCCAGCCGCCTTTTGTCCTCAGAGATCGCCCAATATTGTTTTGGGGATATGGTCATCGAGCGCGCGTTTTAGGGATCGGCTCGGAAGGCAGGCTAGCAAGGATTCTTTAGGAATGGGCAGGCAAGCCGAGATTCTTTGGGATGACGATTTTTTTTGGAAAACTAAGGTCTAGCAGAGATTCCTCAGGAAAGGGATTAAAGCAAGCAGAGACTCCTTAGGAAAGGACAAGCTTATTATTACGGTGGCGTTCCCCCATTTCCCAAAAAAATTTTCTTAGACTCTCTGCTGCATAGCCATATCCCAAAAACTTCGTAAAAAACAAACAAATCCTAATTTCCCAAGGAAGCCGTGCTAGTCTGCCCTCTAAATAATCTCTGCTGGCCCGCAAAGAATTGTGCCTGCCCTTCCTTAAAATCTCTGCTAGCCTGCCCGCCCATTTCCATCCCCCGGTGTGCAATTGTATGCGATGTGATGTGGTTGGCAAGGTAGAGGGGGTGGGCGGCTCTATTTTGAAGTCTCCCTCCCTCGCTCCCCTCCAACGACTACGGTGATTGCCTAATTCCGGTGATTCGCGCCGTGACGAGTGCCCTCCACGGAATTAAAGGGACCGACAAGTGGCACAACGGGGGGTGTTGCGAAGGATGCGAATTTCGGAGGGATGGGGGTTTTTGGATTTTTGAAAGGCTGGCGAGGTAGACCTGATAAAATTGGTAAACTCAGCTCGTAGGGAGTTGGGCTGAAGGTATAGGTTTGGGCTTAGGCTTAGCTGGTTGAGGCTTGGGGCTAGGCTTAGGCTTAGGCTTGGGCTTAGGCTAGGCTTAGGCAGGCTTAGGCTGTAGGCTAGGCTTAGAATTAGGCAAGCTTAGGCCTAGGCTTGGACTTAGGCTTGGGATTAGACTCGAACTTAGGCTATGGCCATGCAGCGATTTTTTGAAGATTTGGCCAGCAAGATCCAGCAGCCATTCGCAACATTTTCGCCCCACAACAAATGAGGCGTAATTTGTTAAAAAGCGTTGCCATTAGCTGGGCGCGGCGGGACGGCGGGGTCCCGCAGCGAACAGGGCCAGCAAAGGCACGCGCCGATCAAGATAAATTGTCGACAATTTGGTGCCGAGAGCCTCTCTAAAGAATCTTTGCTAGCCTGCCTTTCCTCAAAGAAACTCGGCCAAAAATCGCAGTCATCGGAGCGAATGAAACTAGAAATCGGTGGTCGAGAGAGAGAGAGAGGGGCAGAGAGAGAAAGCGCGCGAGATATAAGGAGGGAGACCGAGAGAGAGCTAGTGAAAGAGAGCGAGAGAGAGCGAGAATCTCCAGAAAACCCAAAAATCTTGAAAAATACAGTACCAAGCGACGAACTTGACCCTGAAAGTGCGACCAATGCGCCCAATTTGCATCCAGCGGAGACGGAGGCAATTTTCGGGGTACTGTACTCGCTGCGGGAGGGCGTCTTTTGCGCCCTGCCCGCCTCATTTACATCTTATCACCGTGCGGGCAGGCAAATCAGTTACACCTCCCCGGGAATGGGGGCTTTGAAGTTGCCGGGTTACGGTGAGGCAGGCTAGCAGAGATTCCTTAGGAAAGAGTAAGCTAGCAAAGATTATTGAGGAATGGACAGGCTAGCAGTGATTCCTTAGGAACCATGTAGAACACCCCGCGAATCAACGGCAAGCTAGCAGAGATTCTTCGGGTTACAATTAGTCGTTAAAGAAAGTCTTAAGTTTGCCTTCATAGCCCCTTTAAAATCACTATTAAGCATATCATAATGTGGATACTATACTTAAAGCTATTCAAAAGCTAAAAAAAGTAAATCATCATATTTTGATAGCTATAAAATATAACTTAGTAACTTTTAATCAACAATATTTGCTTAAATGCAATATTAAAGGCAACTGGCAACCAAAAAACCTACAAAAATAGGCAGTTTTCGGCTGAAAAAGTGCGCCGTCCGCTGTTGCGTAGCGGACTAATTTCGGCGGCTGCTACGCGCAGGGAGCGAAAACGCGGGTAACAGGCTATTTGGTCAGCTGCCAGCACCCCTTCCCCCTGGGGTCCCACCGCGAAAAAGGGGCCCTCGGGCCCTCAGACGGATTCTGAATTCTGATTTCGTACAGTACAGTGCCGGGGCTCTGTGAGCACAGATGCGCCTGGAGCTCAGCGCCGCCCGGCTGGAAATTTGCACTTTTTGCGATTTTTTGGGGTTTTTAGCATGGATTCTTTAAAAAAAAAAAAAAAAAAATAAACCGGAAAAAGGAAGCCAAAGGGGAAACTCCAAAAAAAGGAGGAAGAAGAATTTTTGGAGAGGAAAAAAAAAGGAGAGATTCTTTAGGAAAGGGCAGGCTAGCAGAGATTTTTTAGGAAAGGGCAGGCTAGCAGAGATTATTTGGGAAACTTGAAACTGGGTGGCTAGCAAAACTTTTAACGAAAAGATCACCAAACCCGCCTTTTTGCGAACTTAGCTTCCTCAACACTCTCTGCTAGCCTGCCCCCTTTTAAACCCCTAAAAATCAATAACGGAGCAATCTGAAGCAACAAAAAAAAACGCGAGTTTCCGGCCCCCTTAAAATTCGTGAGTCCCCCCCGGGGGAGGGTGGATGGTGCGTGGGGGCCAATCCAGGAGCCGACTCGCTCACCCCCCAGGTGCTCTGGTCCCCCCGATGATGCGTGACCAGGCGTTTGTCCTGTCTGTCAGTTTCTCTCTCTCTCTCTCTCTCTCTCTCTCTCTCGCCAGGCCTGCAGCCCCTTCCCCCACTCCCCCAGAGGGCCCAAATACTGAGCACACCGGGAGAGAGAGACCCATCGAAAACCCGGGGCCCGGCCTGACGTTCGGAAACCCGAAACAACCTGTACTCCCCTGGAACTGCCGATTTTTTTTGGTCGGTGTAAAGGGTTCAGAAAATTAGGCGAGAGATGGAAAGAAGAGAAGACGAGAGAGAGAGAGCGAGAGAGAGAAGGATTGAGAGAGGGACGAGAGAGAGAGAGTGTGAAAGGGAGAGGAGAGAGGTGAGAGACAGAGGGAGAGAGAGAGAGCGAGAAAGAAGAGAGAGAGAGAACGAGGGAGAGAGGGCAGAGAGAACCAGAGAGAGAGCGAGAGAGAGAGAGAGAGAGAGAGAGAGAGAGAGAGAGAGAGAGAGAGAAAGCTGAAATCCCCAAGATCCATAGCCAGTAAATCCATCCTCTTGCCTTGCCGGTCCCTTTAACTTTACCATCTACGCTTGGCATACTTTATTCCACAGAACACTGGCTGCGTTGACGACTCTACGGTTCCGGAAACCAGTCCGGACCTCCATAGATTGCATAAAATTTGAATTTACAGGGACGTAAAAGCGATAAAAACACCAACACAAGCAGGGTACACTTTCCCAGCGAGAAAAGCACAAAAATCCGAAATCAACGCGCAAAACAATCGATAATTGAAGGGTACAATTGGGGAAAAATCACAAAATAGAATGAGATTCTGGTTAGAAAACAAAAATTCAGACGGTAAAAGATATTTCAGACATTTTTCCCATTATTCGGGCATCTGGGATAGGTAACGGCCGTAGGTGAGGAATTCGAAGTCCGGGTTGAAGAGGGAGTACTGTAAAAATTTTGATAATTTTGATTAAAAAAATTTACTAAGGAATCTCTGTCAGCCTGCCCTTTCCTAAATAATCTCTGCTAGCCTCCTCTTTCCTAAAAATTCTCTGCTAGTCTGCCATTTCCTAAAGATCTGCTGGTTCTTTTAAAGGGACAGTGCCTCCAAGCCCTCACCCTCTGCAGTCCATCATTCAGCCATTCATCGCAAGCCGTCTCTTCGGATTCCGTAAAGTGCCCTTCACACAACCGGGCGATTTTTCCGGCCCGCCGTTTTGCGAATTTTTGGAGCTGTTGCATCTGCAAAAACAATTTTTAGAGGGTGCTGACATGCAGAGAAGGTATTTTCAAGGGACCGGCAAGTCAAAATCTGAGTCCTAAAGGCAAATTCAAGCAAATTCGTATAAAAACGAGACAGTGTACCTCGGAGTTAAACCAAGTAAAATAAAGCAAAATATCAAAATCCATACCCTTTCCTTCCTCGTCCGCTTCCCCAACCTCATCCGCATGCACATGTTCGGGTTATAGGACGCCGAATACGGCTTTCGAAGCACCTAAGATATGAAAAGCAGGTTTCGGTAGCTTTTCCGGACTTACCGTAGCCGTCGTGTCGATCGTGAACTTCTGCTCAGCGCCCGGGCCAGCCTGCACTTTCCGGAGGTTCCGCTTTAATTGCGTCGGGGCGGGCAGGGCTTTCTAGGATTATTTTAGTGGTGTTCGATTTTCCTCCAGGAATCTCGGCTAGCATGCCTAAGCCCAAGCCTAAGCCTAAGCCTAAGCCTAAGCTCAAGCCTAAAACGAAGCCGACGGCTACGCCTAGCCCTAAACGAAGCCTAAGCCTAATCCTAGGCCTCAACCTGAGCCCAACCTAAGCCTAAGCTGAACCATACCACAGATGGGATGTACTCCTCCTCGCCCAGCGACGGCAAGTATTTTGCCGTTCTCCGGATCTCGAGCCGCCGCTTCGTATCGGCCGTACGCTTGTCTTTTTCGGCTTCGTACTCCTCCAACTCTTTCTCGGTATCAACGAGTTCGATCTAAAAAATCAGAGCTAAGGACGAAAAAGCGTGAATCTCAAGGAATCTCGGCTAGCCTCCTTTTCCTAGAGAACCTCTTGCTCGCCTCTGGCCCAACAATCTCCAAACTCTGCCTCCTAACACACGTACCGTAACCCTGGGGTCGTCCACTTTGTGCATAATCTGAATCTTGAAGCAATTCTCCTTCAGCAGCGCTCGTTCCGCATGGTCGGCGTACGCCAGCTCAATGTTGAAGCAGTTCTCATCGAACTCGTACAGCTTTGCCGGCTTCTCCATGCGGAAGCGTTGATAGGAGGCGAGCGTACAGAACGGTTCCGGATCTTCAATGACCAGCTGGAAATGAAAGAAATTGGATCGCACTTAAGAGAACAAAAACACCTAAGCCTAAGCCTAAGCCTAAGCCTAAGCCTAAGCCTAAGCCTAAGCCTAAGCCTAAGCCTAAGCCTAAGCCTAAGCCTAAGCCTAAGCCTAAGCTAAGCCTAAGCCCCTCAAGCCTAAGCCCTAAGCCTAAGCCTAAGCCTAAGCCTAAGCCCTAAGCCTAAGCCTAAGCCTAAGCCTAAGCCTAAGCCTAAGCCTAAGCCTAAGCCTAAGCGGCTAAGCCTAAGCCTAAGCCTAAGCCTAAGCCTAAGCCTAAGCCTAAGCCTAAGCCTAAGCCTAAGCCTAAGCCTAAGCCCAAGCCTAAGCCTAAGCCTAAGCCTAAGCCTATGTCTAAGCCTAAGCCGGGCCTTCTCACCTGGTGCAACTGTTTGCCCATATTGAGGATGAACTTGTCCATGACGATGATGTTCTGCAGCTCCGTGGGGAAAAGGGTCCTAAGATCGTGTTTTTTAAAGCATGACCTAGAGCTCTAATACCGTATATTATCCTCGTAGGTGGTCAGCTCCATCGCGCCGTCCATCAGATTCTTCACTTCCTGTAGCGCCCTCTCGTAGTGCTTCTCCGGGTTGACGGGCGGGGGCTAGGAAAACAGATAGTTTTGTTCCCGAAAATCTCTGCTAGCCTGTCCTTTCCTAAAGAATCTCTGCTAACCTGCCACTTCCTAAAGGATCTCTGCTACTTACCTTGAACACCGCCAGCCCGTTGAACGGGTCGCTGGCGTTCAGCTCGCATCCAATGATGTCCTTCCCGTGCTTTTCGTAGATTTCCGCCCGCTTTTTCTGCATCTCGACATCGTACTGTAGAAGAATAATACGATAAAAATTTTTGATTATTAAATATAGGTACGATGAAACTTTTAAAAAATCACAGAATCCAAAAAACTACCAAATACTCCTCGATCATCTTCTCTTGACGTTTCTTGAGTTTTGAAAGTCGATCGCAAACCATGCCGTGGAGTCGGAAGAAGACGAACAGCGGATTGGCACCGTAGACCTGGAAGGAAGGGAGATGAGAGAAAGAGAGAGAGGGAAAGAGAGAGAGAGAGAGAGCTCCGAGCTCCTTCGAAAAACTCACCATTCTATACGTCGTACTACACTTTGGCCTCGTCCACATCATCTGGGTCTTCCGCCTCAATTTCTCGGGGTCGCCGCTCTTCCGCTTGCTCAGCTTTTCTTGGAGGCGAGTCCTAAAAAGTCTCCTTGTTGATAGGATCCTTTAAATTACCGTCTCTTCAGTGGCGTGTCTTCGGCGGTGGAAGTTGAGGCTTCTTCATCCTCACTGTCCGGCTCGCGCTGGACGGCGAACCATTCGGGGATCCACTTTCGGATGACCTAAGGGTCAGGGTACACTCTCACTCTCACTCTCCCTCTCGCTCTCGCTCTCCCTCTCTCACCTCTTTCATCTTCTCCTTCTCCTCCTTTTGATATCCCCTCCTGACGTGGTGCAGCAGCAGGTCGTTGACGTCGTGGATGATCGTCCTGAAAACGGAGTCGTGCTTAGGTTTCCGGTTTACAAGTCGGTCAAGTCAGACTTAAGTTTTTGAAGTCACTCACATATCACTCGGGTACATCAGGATTAGATGTGGGCCCTCGTCGCTCACCTCGCCGACTTCGGATCTGAAAATGGGTTTACGCTCGTTCTTCTTTGGTCTCCTAAAGAATCTATGCTAGCCTGCCATTTCCTGAAGAACCTCTGCTCACCTCCTTTGCCGTTCATCAAACAGCTTCTCAATCTGATGTATCAGCGTCTTGTGCCTCATCCACTTTGCATCCAGCGCCTTCGCCGCGTTCGACTGGTGGTCCATCGCGCGGTAGAAGTATTTCTCGATGTGCTCCTTCCAGATGTCGTTCATCTTCGTCTTTGCCTCTTTCCATTCATTCTGAAGGTGGAGGTCTGTGAGTGAGTGAGAGAGAGATAGATAGGCAGAGAGAGAGCGGGAGAGAGAGAGAGAGAGAAAGAGAGAGAGAAAGAGAGAGGTCTGAAGCTAACCTGTTTCTGGCGGAGTCTCTCCAACACTCTTGGCACTGCCGAACCGGGGTTCTTCTTCAGGGCTTCGATGACTTTGAAGGAGGCCTCACCGTAGATTCTTTTGATTGCTCTAAAAACGCGACGTTGTTTGGAAGCAGAAGCCTAAGTCTAAGTCAAGCCTCAGCCTCACCTCTGAATCGTGCTTGCCGACGTCGAGCCGAGCGCATCGTCGAGGATGACCTCCTTTTTCTTAGGCTTCTTCAGAATCGACTCAAGGCATGTGATCGCGTACTTGTTGACCTCCATGACGATGTCCAACTGAAAGCGGTTGTGTTTCTCTCTCTCTCTCTTTCTCTCTCTCTCTCTCTCTCTCTCTCTCTCTCTCTCACCTCAAATCTATCGTCCTCAGTTCGATGCAAATATTCCTCATACGCCGACTTCTTCTGCGAGACGTTCGATGAGTCTTCGGACAGCCACGAGGGGAAGGACACCCATTTGTCGTTGAGCACCTAGATTCGTGGGTTTAAAGGGGGCGTTAAAGACAAATCCAAGCCTGAATTTTTTCCAGATAGTCGACTCCAAGCCGCAGGATGTTTGGAAAAATTGGTAAAGCTAGCGGGGACCCAAAACTCACCGATCGGCAGAGTCTCGTCCTCCCCGAGCACACCGGCTTGTCCTTGGTGTCAGGCAGGGCCCGGTAGGAGGCGCCGAGCTGCTTGCAGCTGTTGTAGTCGATCTCGTGGGCCAGCTCGCTGTGGAACTTCGGGCCGCCGGTGCCTTCCGGTTTTGGTTGCTCTGAAAAATGGGGGATTAGAACGGTAGGCGTTTCGAAGAATCTCTGCTAGCCTGCCCTTTCCCAAAGAAAATCTGCTAGCCTGCCCTCCAGGCCTTCCCGCTCTTCTTAAACCCACCAGCACTACCAGCTTCGCCTTCACGCTCCATTTCCAGCCCCAGTAGCTGCTCAAAGTAGTCGACGGCGTCAGGGAGTACTGAAGAGATAGGTATTTTCTAGGAAGATAGAGAGAGAGAGAGAGAGAGAGAGAGAGAGAGAGAGAGAGAGAGAGAGAGAGATAAAAAGAAACTCACCCTCCCCTAGCGAAACCTTGACAAATTGGAACAGCTCCTCCTCGGTGATGATCTTGGTCGTATACATGTTCAGGCCGCGCAGGAAGTTGTTCCAGCGGCTAAATGTGGATTTTTTGGTTTTAGGCAAGCGTAGGCTTATGCTTAGGTTAGGCTTAGGCTTAGATTCGATTCCCGGGCCCGACTTTGGCTTTAATTTTACTTCCTTCGACGGCTACAAACTACAAATCGACTTACAATGGTGGTAAGACTCGGCGTAGCTTCTCGAAAAGCTGCACTTCCTCCATTTTTAACACGTGATCAATCTGAATAATTTTTAGACCAAAATACGTTCAAAAACCTCTTCGAGGGGCGCCTCCTTCAGCCAGCCGATATTTCGCTTACGGTATCGACGCTGGAATGGAATGTTGGAGATAGGAGAGAAAGAGAGGAGTGAGAGAGAGAATGAGAAATCGAGAGAGAGAGAGAGAGAGAGAGAGAGGGAGAGAGGGAGAGGGAGAAAAATTCATACCTTTCTAGAAGCCCTAGTGACTCGACGTGTCCGCTCCCGAGTCTGAAAATTTAAGTTTAACATACACAATTCGAAAAATTACCCTTGATTCCCCATTTTCCTCGGCTGCTCCCTCGCTCTCCGGTTTTTGGTCTGCAACACTTTAAAAGCCATAACTTTCTGGCCTACCTTCGTCAGATTCCTCCGCGGATGAGCCGCGCTCCTTCTGTTCTTCCTGAAAAATGGAATTTTATTTTTGTAGGAAAAGAGAGAGAGAGAGAGAGAGAGAGAGAGAGAGAGAGAGAGAGAGAGAGAAAGAGAGAAAACAACAAAATTCCCCCACCTTCTTCTGCGCCTCCACCCGCCGCTTGGCGGCCATCAAGTTGGCCTCGGGCAGGAAGATGCGGAACTGGAACAGAGGCATTAATTTTTTCGTGCCCCATGAAAATCGATAGGCGCACTCGATTGTGCATTCCTAACGAGCCGATTAGTCATCATCGAGGAACGCGTGCGGCAAAAACAAAACCACCAACCTCCTCCAGCAGATCCGACTCATTTTCGAATAGCTTCCCGATGGCGTCGAGGATTGTCTTCTCGGTTCCGGGCTGAAATAGGCTTGGGTTGAGGTTTAGGCTTCGGCTGAGGCTTAGGCTTAGGCTTAGACTTCAGCTTGCGCTTAGACTCAGTGATCCGTAATTGGTTATTCCGTTTTTTACGCTTTACGCCCACCTTCTCCTGCTTCTGGTACGAGCTGAGAATATCTAGGAACGACTTGTAGACGGCTGGCTGGGTGTTGAAGCGAGTCTAAATTAAGATTTTGTATTTTATCTATCTTTCATATCTCTCTCTCTCTTTCTCTCTCTCTCTCTCTCTCTCTCTCTCTCTCTCTCCTCTTTCTCTCTCCCTCACCTTGATCTTGTTGACGTATTCCAGTGCTTGGTCGAAGGCAGCATTTCCCAAATTCGGCTGCTTTGGCCGTTCCTCTTTAGCTGTGGGCGCGGGGGCGGCTTGAGCGTTCAGGATATCTAAATAATTTTTTTTTACTTGTGCTCCTCAAGAATCTCTGCTAGCCTGCCTGAGAGAGAAAGAGAGAGAGAGAGAGAGAGAGAGAGAGAGAGAGAGAGAAAGAAAGAGAGGCAGCGATGGATAGTCAGTTTCACAATGAGATACAGACTTTAGCAATTTCTGCGCAATTTCCCCAAACCCATACCTGATATTTGCGGTTTCGTCTCCGTCTTAACCGCTGCAACCGGAGCCGCAGCCGCCGCCGCAGCTGCCGCTTGTGCGGCTTCATTCGCCGTGGCTTGAGCTTGAGCTTGTTGCTGAGCAAGCCGCTGTGCTTGTTGGTTGGCCGCCATTTGGAGCGTGATCTAAATTTCCATCCTACTTTTCCCCTTTTTTCCTCTACTCACCTGTTGCTTGACAGTCATCTCGGGGTGTAACCGGCCGCTGGCGCTGCGGTAAACCGGGATTTGACCTGAAGATGTTTTTTTATGCTTTCAAGGCTTGAATATACCCGTTATAACTTGCTGAACGGTCGGCTCGGGCTGTTGATGAACATAGCCGAGCAGAAGGTCGGCCGATGCGCGATTCGGGATTTCAAGGGGGCCCTGAAAAAGTTGCAGCCGCTTTTTTGGGGCTAACCTGCGACGGTGGCAGCGGAAAGCGAGCTGAGGCTGAAGTTGAAGCCACGGTGGCGGGAAGTACGATGCCGGGCGTAGAGCCAGGCGGTCCAGTTGCGTTAATCTCGCAAACCTCCTAAATTTATTAAATTCTAGCGATAACGTAATTTCCTAAATAATCTCTGCTAGCCTCCCCTTTCCTTTCGAATCTCCCTGCCAACTTTTCCAAACCTGTATATTCCCGTTCGGTTCGCTGATCATAATCTTGTTGCTGCCCTCATTCATCAGCACTTTAAACCCGGGCGGGAGAAACGTGTTGAAGCCCATGATCAGCTGCGGGCGGCCGCTGAACAGCTGCGACACCCTGCGGATCACGCCCGGCGTATCAATCCTGAAGTATCGATCGAAATTTCCGTATCCGTGCTTAGGGCTTACGATTGATTCTTGAAATCCTTCATGATGTCCAGGAATTGTGTGTATGTCCCGGACTCTTCGCTGAACTGGTTTTTGACCTGATCCAAGTAGGAGAGCGCATCTTCGACCTGAATTTAGTTTTTGGATTAAAGGGCTGTTGGTATCACTGACAGGTATCGAGCCTATTCTCCCATCTTTAAAAGATGATTTAAACGTTTTCTTACAAAGGTTAAGCTTCTATAGTCGCAGATCATATATCAGGTTTGGACTTACTTTAACTTTGCTCTGCGCGGGATTCTGCGGGCTCTCCTCGAGTGTAATGATGCCCGCCGACATTTTGGGCTACGGGCTCTTACGGGCGGCGCCTCTAAAATATATTAGAAAGTTATAGATTCTATTAATATTTAAATAAATAGTTTCTTAAAGATTTTAATTTGTCAAATTGGGGGTAGTGCTTTCGAACGGGCAAGAAAGCGCCCAGCGAGGGAATGGAACGTCATGAGTGCGCGCCTTCCCGGCGTCAACTGGAGTGCTTTGTAGCCTACCCGACCAGGAATTTTTTTAGCAAAAGAAATTAGTTATGAATTAAATTTATAAATAAAAATGAGGTTGAAAATCTAAGGAACTGATGGAATTAAACTAGCCAATCTTTGCAAGCGTTTAAAAGTTATGTCGCGTGCTCTAGCTTGCTTATTAGACGTTTTTAAACCCTTTCAAACTCGCCATGCATTAATTACTTGATATTTTGTTGCAGATGGCGGCCCCGGCGGACGAATATCGCTCGCTGCTAGAAGAGCTGCCGCTGAACACTATCGAATACGCGTTCGCCTACGGCAGCGGAGCTGTTCAGCAACATGGCGAGAACAAGGCCGACAAGGTAGTTTTTAATCCTGGAAAATATCTTTTTTTTCAAGATGGTCGATTTCATCCTCGCCACCTCCGACCCACATGGCTTCCACGAGGATAATGTGGCCAAGAACCCGGCGCACTACTCTACGCTACGTCTGCTGGGGCCCAAATGCTTGGCGAAAATCCAGGTGATAGTTTTTCGGGCTTCACCTAGTTTGGTGTTTAGTTCAGACAGCTTACGGGGCTCGCGTCTACTTCAACACACAAGTCAAGACTGCAAATCGGACGATAAAGTACGGCATTATCTCGATGGACGATTTAAAGTAAGTTTTTGACACTTTTGCAAGTGGTTTGCGCGCAAAGCAAGGAAAATTTTGCATTTTCAGGTCCGATCTTATCGACTGGAATTGGCTGTACGTCGCCGGGCGTCTTCAGAAACCTGTTCTAGAGGTATAGCCATTTTTTGGGCAAATTATGGTCCAGGTGATCTCGAAAACGCCCAACGTCTCCGAATGGATAGCAACAAATCGACGAAGCGCCCTGCAAGTGGCCCTGCTGCATTCGAAGGAGCACTTTTCTTTGCGCGAGCTGTTCGAGCAGGTTTTTAATGGTTTTCGTTGCCTTAATAATTCAATTTTTAGATTGTCGCCATCTCGTACACGGGCGATTTTCGAATGTTGATCGGCGAGGATAGGAATAAGATTACGAAGGTTTATTTTTGCTCAAAATTTAGATTTTTGGCGTTAGACGTAGAAATTGATAATGGAAAGCATATGAAAAACGTTTAGCTTTAGTATGTAACGTTTCAATGTATAACTTTCTTTCCAGATTGTCGCCGGCAATTTCGCACAACTCGACGCCGCCTATCGCCCATTATTGGAGTCGGATCCGAGTGTGGTGCGTGTTTCGTGGTTACACTTTTTAGCTTGGGTTCTAAACTTTCAAACCGAATGCCCGATTTTCAAGTATTTTTTGAGCTGGTCAAGTCAACGACAGCGCTTCAGCAGGACGTCAACCCGATGATTCTGCAGGAGCGGTGCGTTTTTAGGTTCCTAAAAGGAGCTCCATTTTTTTCAGGTTAAAATTGCTGCCCCCGCGCGTTCTCCGGCATATTGGCGTGGTGGAGGTGAAGGTTTAGGCTCAAAAATTAGCTTCTTTTTTTAGGATCGCGCTGACGTCTCCATCCGGTTGTCCGCCGCCGTCAAGTCGATTGTAGCGCCGGTGGCGATTGCTCAGGTAAAATTAGAATAATTAATCGAAAATAAATAAAAAACCTATCGGTTTTTGGGGTCTTTTGCATTATCGGGGGAGAGGGGATATTTTTTTGAAGGCGTTTAGTCGTTTTAGTATTGTTTTTATCAAATATAGCCGTTTTACAATTAAAAAACTACCTAAGAACTTTAAAAAAGCTGGTAAAGTCGTAGTTTTGTTCAAAATCTGCCATTTTGTCGAAAAATCGATATTTTGAAAGTTCTTACATCAAAATTCTGGGGTTTTTTGACGTTTAGGAATAGAAAAAAGCTTCCGCTGCCCCTACCCCCGATAATGCCAAGGAACCGAAAGTTATACAATTTTTGGTGATTTTCGAGCGTGCGACTTTCGAGCCGGGGATTTCGGTCGGGAACCGCCGAAATCTTGCCTAAATTCCGCTACATTCCTCTTTACAGACGGTGAAGAACGCGTTCTCGGCGGGGCTGATGCGCTCGCTCGTCTACTCGATGGCCAAAATGAGCAAGATGGCCAAGTCAATGAAATGAAGCCGGAAATTCATGTCCATTTTTTCGACGGGTACCGTTAGTGCATGTGTGATTGTTAGGGTGTTAGTCGATGCTCAACTGTGCAATAAACTTTATCGAATCGTCACACAAAAATGGTTATATTTGTCGGGGGACTTCAGCAGCCTTCCGGGTCCACGAGCTGGTTCTTGATCATCGACGGATACGCCGAGCAGATGCCGTACAGCGCCTCGGGGGCACATGGGCGAGCCTTGGGCTGAAAACCGACGTGTTGGAGCAGTTCAGGTAAGGTTGAGGTTCAGCGCCGTTGGCTGTAGACTTCGGCGTAAGCCTAGCTTACGTGTAGCCGCCTACAAAAGGAATACCCTACCGGCCACTCGTTCTTGGGCAGCGCCTGGAGGCACTCGGTGATGGGCAGATCGTCGGTGCACGTCCCTTCGGCCACGCCGAGCTCGAGCAGGAGCTCTCGGTCTGAAGGGTGAAGCGAAGCATCAGCCTAATCAAGCCTAAGCCTAAGCTTAAGTCCATGTCTAAGCCTAGGCCAAGCTAAAAAGAGAAATGGACAACCTACCACTGTAGTCCTTCCACTTGTTGTTCTCGTTGTAGAGGCAACGGCGCACGCGCGTCCAACTGCCCCAAGCGCGATGACCGGCGGGAAGTAGGGCTGGAAATGACTTGTCGGTCCCTTTAGATCACCCGCTCTCTCTCTCTCTCTCTCTCTCTCTCTCTCTCTCTTCGCTCTCACCCCACCAGCAATTCGATGCATCTGCTCCATATTGTGGTAGTAGGCGATGTCGACGAGCGGCCCATAACGCCGACAGTCACACTGCACGTCGTCAAACGCCAAAGGCGCCGCGGAGAACTGAAATTTTGGAGCTTTCGCGTTATCAGGGGAGGGTGCACCTTGAAGCAGTAGCGGAAGCCGAGGTTGTCCTGGTCTTGCTCCCAGCCGGCCGGGCAATCTTAACACAAGCTGGTATTCTGATTTGATTCGTCAACAATCTTTGCTAGCCTGCCCTTTCCTAAATAATCCCTGCTAGCCAGCCCTTTCCTAAGAAATCTTTGCCTACCTGGTCCCTGGACCGCATCCTGCCAGCTCTTGAGCACGAGCACGGAGACCAGCAAAAGGCCAAAGATGCGAGCAACCATTGCCTGGCCGAGCAAAGTTTGAGTACGAGTTTTCCAGCCGATTCCGACCCGAATTCAAAATCGTTGGATTCAAATTTAAGGCTAGCGTGCCTTTTTTCTCGAAAATATCTGCTAGCCTGCCCTTTCCGCAAGAATCTTTGCTAGCCCGCCTGTTCGTACTACTCCTTCCGAATCTTCCGTCCATTTTAAGTAAACTTTATTCGTCCAAAATCTGCATCAGGGTCAACAAGTTGAATTGTACAAGAAAAACATATAAATTAAGGCAATTGGTAAGGAGCTAAAAAATTATTTCTGCATCGATCCCAGCTGCACGAGCAGCTGCTTCTCGGTGGCGGCGATGATCTGGAAAGGGAGCTCTTCTCAAGGGTCTTCGAAGGCAAATCCATCATCAATTTTTGACCCCAATCCAACCCCAGATACAGTACTACTTCCGGAAATCCAAAAAAGTGCCTCGGGTACCGCTCTTCCATCCCACACGGGTCCCGCAACGACTGCAGGGGATCGGTTGGCTGCCTGCCAAGGGGGCTAGGGGCTATGTATTTGCCTTTCCAGTCCCTTTAAAGATTATTTCTCACCTGGCAAAGTCTGAGGCCCCGCTCGTTGGCCTTGAGGGCCGCCGCCTTCGATCCTCCGCGGTATAGACTTTCCGCGTAGTCGAGGCACTGCTGGGCTTTGTTCGCTTGCTTTTGAGCCCTAGAAACAAGAGATTGTTAAGGTTCCTGAAGAATCACTGCCTAGCCTTCCCTTTCCTAAGCAATCTCTGTTAGTTTTCCCCACCATTTCATCGCATCCATTTCAACATCCTCGTCCTCCTCGTCATCCGAATGAGCGGAGCCATAGTTATAATGAACCTGAAAAAACTAGCATAGTTTTCTCTCTCTCCCCCTCTCTCACTCTCCATCTATCTCCCCCTCTCTCTCTCTCTCTCTCTCTCCCTCCATCTCTCTCACTCTCTCTCTATCTCTCTATCTCTCTCTCGCTTTCTCTCTCACCATTTCCTTGTTCTTCTCCTCCGACAACTTCATCTTCTTCATTGCATCTACAGCCGCATCTTCAGACTTTGATCCAATTTTAGGTGCCACTTCCTTGCTCCATATCGGAACAACATTGAGAGTCTTTGGCCGTTCAAGCTTCTTCTCCTCCTTCGGTGGCTCTACAGGCAACCTGACCTTGCCCAAGATCTCGCTTCGGAAAACCGACGGTTGGCGCGCCCACATTCGGAATGAGAGTAGATGTTCTGTGACCTCTTTGGCCAGCACCGGATTGTCGGGCAACAGCGTCGAGATGGCTGCGCGGATGTAGTCACTGACTGGAAAAATGGGTTAAATGCTGAGAGCGAACCGGGGACCATGAGAGAGGGAGAGAGAGCGGTAGAAAGAGAGAGCGAGAGAAAGAGAGAGAGAGAGAGAGAGAGAGAAGGATACTACTCAAAATTAGAAATCCAAACCTTCATACTCTCCAATATTTGTCTTTTGCTTCCAAATGTCCAGAACTTTCTGTTGATGAACGACCGCATCACCTGGGGCCGTCTCAAAAACGCCCTGTTCAAGACGTTCGGCTTCGGCCATGATTCTACGCATAAATTCGGCTTCATCCGGCAGCATTGCCTTCAAAACATGGCCGATCATCTCGTTGCGCAGCGTTGTGGTCAGGGCTTCACTCGTCTCGAGCACCAGTTCTGAAAAAAGTTGTTTTTTGAAGGAATCACTGCCAGCCTGCCTTTCCTATAAAATCACTGCTGGTTGTCTTTTCCTAAATGATTACTGCTAGCCTACCAGTTCCTAAAGAATCGCTGCTGGCTTGCCCCTTCCTCAATAATTTTAGTACCCACCAATACTCTTGACGATCGCGTACTCGGCCACGCCCTTCAGCTTCTCCTCCTGTGTGGCCAACGTGTAGTAGGCGGTACGATCGCTGGCACTGGAGAACAGCTTCTCCTCGTAAAGACGAGCCTCCTCGATTAGGGCATCAAAGATGGGCCCCGAGTTTTTCATAATAGCTGTGGCCAAACGGAGCCGCCCGTGGTGGCGAGTCTTCGCGTCGATGGAAGGATTTTGCGGAACTTCGTTGAGAGGAACTTCTGGAATTGCAGAGATTTTTGAGGAGTGG